ATTGGGGCAGCGTGGCTTTGTTAACAGGTTGACAACAAGCCACTGAATTCCCAATCTGAGAACTGTATGTACTCCAGATTTTTCCATATGTTACTGAAGCTGCAAGCTGGTATAATGTTGTCTGTGATTGTAGGCAACAGCAACAAAAACTGAGTCAAAAGTTAGTTTTGTACTAACACATATAAGAGCAGAGTTGCAGGTGGAAGACAGGTTTTGCATAATGTTTAGGAGCTTATCTATAGCTTTCTCTTTAGGATTACCATTCTATTTTTTGAAGCTCTCTGGAGGATACTTTCTGACTGTCTCTGGGTAGAACAAGTAAAACCACTCCGAAGAGATGCTGAATGAGCATTAAATGACAAACTGATGTCACCACAAAGAGTACCAGCAGAAAGATCCTGCAGATTTACATCTTGCAGTGTTTTATCTTAAACTGAAACCTTAGGAAACAATTGGACTGGCTGGCAAACAATCCATGTTTGTGAGTGTGATTCTTAAACAAGCCTAGTGTTTGTATCACGTTTGTGCTATTCAGTCTGCCTTTGGAAAATTAACTGTGATATGAAGGCCATCTTTGTATTCATCTATCTTAGGCTTCTATTGGAAAAACACTCTAAAAATTACAACTGTCCAGGCATATAGAATAGTAATTGAATGCAAGTACACTTTATGATTTTTAGCTCAGCTTTGTCAGCTGTAGCTGCTGACTGTGCCTATTTAGTCACCAAGTGTATTATGTAAACAGACTATTAAATGTGGAAATGAGGGTGAAAACAAGAGACCTATATACAGTATATACTTTCTTAATGAAGATTATTGAAATTTTACACCTAAAATATCTGGAATATTTTAATTGTGATGATATTGTGTTCTTATTTAATGATGGGCTATACGCATACATATTACTTGCTTGCCCCTTTTCTCTGTGCAACAGTATTTTAAAATACTGTGAACTTCACAAAAAATGGCTAAAAAAGGGCCCTTTTAATTGTGTACTCACAATATAGTTATGTTCAGCTCTCAGTTAAGAGACCAAGGATGTTGTTTACTTTTTTCAGTGAGCTTCAAAAGTTTGTGGAAGGTTTGTGGAAGTCTTGAAATTTTGCTACCTTTTAATTCTGATGTTGCCATGCTGTTCACTGTGTCAAGATGTTTCTGAAAGCCCTTGCTAACCATTGCTGCCACAGAGGAACCACAGAAATTTCACAACTAACACAGATTAATCAATTTTATTGCTCTTTTCTTTTAAACTGCTAATAAAAATGAACTTTCTTTAGTTTAATAGAAAACTTATGTGCACAAGGGACATTGATTTGTTTTGATAGGCTTACTGAAAGAAAAATGAGCTTTAGAATTAATAGTAACTAAAAAAAGGGAATGATATATTAGAAACCTGTGAAGTACTTCATAAAACTAAATTCTGAGAAAGTGCATGGCTGAAGTTCTACATCTACATCTCTATTCTTTATCTATACCAGTCTTAATTATTCTGTGTGGAATGTTAGTGGTGATTCACCATGAAGCACATCTATTTCCAGTCAAACAAGCTCAAAACAGTTTGCAGCAAATTACATGTATCACAGAGCACTCTCTATTATTTTGCTTGTAAAGTGAATGGGTATATTGACTGAGGGGAAAAAGGGGTCTTTGTGATCGTTTGAAAATGTTGTATTTCCATTCTTGCTACTAGGTTTGCCAATAATAACCTTAATGTTTTAGGTGTGATGAGAACAATTAAATTTCCTCAGCATAGAATAAATGCTGATTTATTAATCAAAATGGGTTAATGTGAATTTGGATTCATTGTGAAAGAATGAGTAAAGAGTTTATCCAACAATAGGAGAGCTGCATGTCTTTGAAACACAGATCTAGTCCGAGCAACTAGACCATGAAAAAAACCAAAAAACTATTGCAAACAATTTTTGAACTGGGCTTTGTTCATACTTCAACACTTTTTATCTTCAACACTCTTAAAGGAAAAGGAAATTTCTGTGAAAATCTCTGCTGTTTGGCAGTGGGAGTGAGCTTAAAGTGTAATTAACAAACCATAGACCAGAAATAGGTTTTTGGTCCTTCCTGGAAATTGTTCTTTTCTGTCACTTAAATATTATTTTGCAGAGAAGCGATTTAGAAATTGTTCTTTGAGAACTTATATATTCTGTTGATTTGCAGGAGAAAGAGACTTAGGAGATAAGCCCATCTGATAATAAAAATCCATACTTCCTTAATACTTGATATATTACGTATATATAAACTCACTATATAGTTTTAAAAATGAAGAAGAATCAGAGCTTGACTTTGATGTCTAATCTATCACCTGATATGTATGAGATGTGTCCCCATGCAAAGTAAATAACATTCAGAGCTGTGACTGAACTACAAGATAAATGAGTAGACCATATATTTTGGACTGTCTTCCATGGCCTCTAACTCTTCTGCATCAGTCAGTACAAAATCTGACATTCATCGTTAACTGTCTCCAAAGTTAACTTTCATAATGTTTCCTCTGTTTTCTGTCCAAAAATATTAGAAGCTGAGTATACAAAAATTGCAGCCAAAGAAAGAATTCTAGCTGAGGTTGATAATAGTACTGTTTTATATAAGAAAGTGTAATATTAGGATTTGATGTCCCTCACACCATGCCTTTCAACTGACAGAAAAGTTAAGTTCCTAGTGTAGACCCAATACTTGTTTTTTATGACATTAATGATATATAAAAGCTTAGGTAATTCTTATGATAATTGAAAAAATATTTAATAATAAATAACAGTGGTGGTTTATTGAGAAATACAGTAAGAAATGCTTATGCAGGGAAGGACTTGAATATTGTACAGGGAAGAACTGTGTAACCTTCAGGACTGGACCACTTGGGTGAAATTTGCATTTAAAGACTGAGAAAACATCTGTTTCCAGTGATGGGTTATCACTTTGATGTGAAGACAAATCAAGGGAACTGCCTGGCTGTCTTAGTTGGTCAAATGGTGACAGTGAGTCGGCAGTGCGATTTAGCTCTGACTATGGCAAATGTTTAAGTAACATCAAGGAAGCTGTTTCCAAGACAAAGAACGTATTGATGCATTTGCAAAATGCAGTGCTAAACTTTGGAGTCCAGAATTCAAAAATGAGCATGTGAATGGAGGGCTTGTCCTACGCAAGGAGACTGAGCAAGCGTGGGTTATTGAGTCTATAAGACGAAACTTGAGAAGAGTTTTTAGATGTATTCCATAAATACATTAAGGATGTAAACATCAACATAGAAGAGGGAAAAGACATTTAACCTAAAAGTCAATGATGACATAAGAAACTGCGTGCAAACTAGCTGTAGACAAATTTAAGCCAGAAATTAGAAGGCAGGCAAGCATAGGACATGATTTTCCCTACATCACTTTTACAAATGCTGTTTTAAAAATAAGCCCATTTTTGCCCCAACTTTCCAACTCCTGTTAGAAAGGTTTCAGCACCAGAATGAATCAAATTCTGAAACTGCTGTCCACTAAATGAAATGTGGGCAAAAGGCCCAGTTGCTTTAAAATGGAAATTGTGTCCACGAATAGGATTGTGATGTGGTTAATTCTGACAACGCATGCTTGCTTCATGACCTGGTGATCTGTGAGAGTTCTGTGCCCCATTCCTATTTCTGTTACTGCATTACATTTCTAGATGTTTGTTGTTTTCCCTGGATAGGTTATTCTTTTGAGACCTTTTTTTTAAAAAAAAAAATAAAAAAATTCCTGATTATGAACATGTTCCTACTTTGTGTTTATCACTTTGTTTGAATGTGTCAACAGCAAATGGTCTAAGTGGTTAATATAGATTAATCTATATTCTTCTTTAATCCTGTGAATTTATTTCCTTGAAGATACATCAGAGGTGAGCTTGGTTCATAAATACATTTAGAAGATAAATACAGGAGGGAAAAGGATCCTGTTTCATGGTCTTTTTAATAACTCAGAAATAAAGCCTTTACATGCAATAATGGACCTGTATGATATGTTTTTCCCAGTTTGTTTCAGATCCTTGTGCCAGCAACCCCTGTCACCATGGTAACTGCAGCACTCGTGGTGATGGCTACCTGTGCCTCTGTAGTGAAGGCTATGAGGGAACAAACTGTGAAGGCTCAATTCACAGCCTTCTAGTCTCTGAACGGACAGAGTTGACGTCAGCAAGACAGAGCAGACCGGTCTCATCCACCTTGGAACCTGACATTGTTCTTCCTCGTTCAAGAGCAACTGTGGCGTTACCTACATGGCAGCCAAAAGCAGGACAGAAAGTTGTAGATCTGAAATGGGATGAAATAGAGGTGAGAATATTCTGTTTAAATGAAAATGCACAGAAAAGAACTTCTAAGTGTTATCATTGTTTGATTGTCACTTGTGCCTGATTTCATGGATGCCTACATGAGAGGACTGAAGATGTGATCTCTGCCCTGAGTTAATATGCTAGTAAAATTAAACGCAAAAGATTTCTGATACTTATAATAAGTAATGGGCTTAAGTTGTTGACCAACATGTTGTATTGGGTATTTCTTTGAAATGGGATAATATTGATTCTTCCAGTCATTTGTATGACATCATATCTTCAAACATCAAATAAATCTAGGAAAATCAAAATATTAAAGCAGTACCTTTAATATATTTTTTGTTATTTGCAGTTATAATTGCATGTCGTTTTGAAAAATGTGTCCTTGCAGTGTTAAGAAAACATAGGTATTTGAAGATTAAATGTGGTAGTTAATATATTACACAGTATACAATTCTAGAGATGCAATGATGGTGGAGGAAACTTTTAAACATTTGTTCCATCTTTTAGTAAAATGACAAACTTACTATCTGCAAAGCTACAACTGGAAACCACACAACATATGATCCTTAAGAAATGTGATCTTTGGTTTCTACTGTTTTAGTAGTAGTTCTTAGATGTCTTGCATAGGCTCTAGTATCAGGAAAAAAAAAAAAGAAAAAATTATCAAACTTAACCCAATTACTGTTAAATATTAATCTTTACATGTGAAAACCAAGTCTAGATAGAAAGTACGTTTGCTCACAAACAAAGAAGAATTGATTATTTATCTCTTGATAACTTTGTAATGTATTAAGTTCATTCTATCACATGACCATCCTCCCTTCTTCTTTGAAATCCATCACTGCAAGGATGATTTGTAGTTCTCTTCACTGTTGTTCTCTTACTTGGAGGGGTGAGACCACTACTTCTGCATATACTATTCCTACAGCAGTTGGTAGTGGAAGTCTCCAACCTGATCCAGAGGTCACCCACCTATAATAATACTACATATGTGCAAAATGCATCCCAAAGAACAGTTTGCTGTAGAAGTGAGCATGTTTTGGGGGTAATGGTAGGGCCTTTTTTTGGTTTTGTTTGGATCGACTTAGTACCAAGCACTAGGATTATGAAGCTTGTTGGTGAAGAAATATTATAATTTCAGTAGACAAAGAATTAAAATCTTTGTGACATCTTTTTCTTAATGAAAAATGCATTGTAGTGTGAAGTAATTTCATTTGAGTTTATTCAGGAATAAATAGGTAAAATGTCAGCTTATCTGTTTTTGAAGTGTTTCAAGGAGTGTGATTCTTCTGAAGTGTTTTCACACAGTATGTAATGAGAAAGTGAACAGGTATGAGTTTAATCCTGGAAGAAGTGTATTTTTCATCATTCTTTGCTAGCCCAAACAAATTCATTCACGTTTTTACTGTAACATTTATTTAAATCACTTTTTGAAAGTAAAATCAATATATGTGAAATATGTTTGATGTGTTATGACTCTCAGATTATATTTGAGGTACAAGTAGTTACAGGGCTGTATCTCATTTCAGTGGGAGTTCTGGTGGGCAATGTCTGAGGAAGAGAGCTTCATTTCTTGGAATTCCATTTCCCATATCTATTATTTTACAGTAGAACAGGTGTCAGGCACCAAGTATGGAGTTTAGAGAGAGCACTGAAGCAGAAACAAACAATGATCTGCTTTTATTATTTAGTTTGAATGCAGTGTCATCTCTGCATGGGTGCTCCATATGTTCTAAATCAATTAAGGACATGCCCTTCTCTGTACCAGATTTCCCTCATCTGCCTTCCTCAATCTGTGATCTGGTATTGTGTAAGTACCATTTCTGCCTGGTTTGCATTTTAGGTAGATTCATTAAGCATTTCAGCCAGACAGATCATTCACAAGTGGGTATTTTAACAGCTTAAATTCTGTGTGTCTTCTGTTACCTGAGAAATACATATAGGTTAGCAATTGCAATTGCATTATTAATGTGAACATGGAAATTACTTGTTACCCTATTACTTGTGTTGATATGTTTTTAATAGATTCTGATGGATCTTGTATTTTTCACAGTCTTTCTAGTGTAGCATAATGACCTTCTGTTCTTTGGAGTTCACAGTGAGAGAGATGCTTATCCGAAAGAAAGATATTTCAGTTGCTAATTCAAGACATTGTCTCTGATCTATATTAAACTAAAGAGAGTTGATTTGCCTGAAGGTCTGTGTTCCAAAGCCTCTTTGGTGGAGGCTTCAAGAGTAAAGAGTTAAGTGTTAAGCAGGAAAATACTACCTTTCCTCATAGCTTTAAAAGCTTTGCAAAGCTTGAGCCTTTCTTACCCTCTTAAAAGGAAAAACATAAAGTAACTGTAGGTTTTGTATTGCAAAAACCTACTGTTTTGATCTTCCTTGAGATTCAGAGGCAACAAAGACTGCTATTATATTGTGGTTTTTTCCTTTTTTTTTTTTTTTCCTCTTTTCTTTAAGTCTTCCAAGTCAGCCCATTTTTCACATTATTCTATACCGATACCACAAGTGAACTAATGTTTTCCATATTCTTTTGTCTGTCTACTCAGAGAAAAATTTTGCCACAATCTCTCCAAATGAAAGCTCTCGCTATCTTGCAAGAAGTTTCCATGGAAGCTTTTTCAGGAAGTTTTGAGGACTCAAAAAATGACCACCTGAGAGAAGTAAACTGAGAGAGGCACAATGTATGGGCACAGCTGGACATTTTCTCCTGTATTCCTTAGATGTTAGGGAGATACTTGGCAGTGCGAGCTTGACTGAACTTTCTTGGTAATGTCTGTACCAGTAGACAACATACAGATGTATGAGGCTTTGGGCAACCTAGTCTAGTGGAAGGTGTCCCTGTCCATGGCAGGGGGCTTGGAACTAGATGATCTTTGAGGTCCCTTCCTACCCAAAACATTCCGTGATTCTATGATTCTATGTCTTTGGATACAGTTTCATTTCTTAGAGAGCTCTTGCCATAAGAAATTAGTCTTTTCCTGATATACAGATTAAGGGCTACAAACATAGATCATTGAGAGAAAAATATTAATGTCTGTTGGTTTCTTTAATATAATAGGAGTTTATCTTTGTGATCAGCTGTTGAAAAAAAACTTTTTTCCTACTTTGGGAAACTAGGTTGTTCCACTTGCAAGAGAGATACATCCAGCAATCCACATTTCCCCAGTCCAATGATCTTTTGTGTTACAGTGTAGAAAAGATATATATTAGTGAATAATAAAAGAAAAAAGATACCATCTCATTAATCCTACTCAAATAACAAATTCAACAAAGATTTCTGTGTACAAAAACGACTGTAAGAATAGCAGTACCCTACTCTTATACATTACTTTTCCTTAATAGCTCTCAAATTCTTTGCAAAGGAAATCAGCAGTATTATTCACATTTTACAGATGGAGACACTGAAGCACAGAGCAGTAAAGTGATTTGAAAGGTGCGCAGCCAGGAATTAGAATACTAAGCACGTGAGTCCTAGTCTAACCTTTTATTTATACTGCAATACTACTGCTGAGATTCAAGCTTTTGGAAGTAGTGATTAGAAGCTACAATAAACTTGTAATTCCCCTTACAATGGGAATAGCATTTATTTTATGTATGTTCGTAGTCAGTAAATTATAAGCCTTTAAAAGAAGTATGGCTTTTTAAGAGTGTGCTCCTGCTCTGCAAAAATGGAACATGCTTGAAGAATATTCTGCTTGAAACAGAGACCTTTGAATCTTTGATTGCTTTTTGTGTTGCTAAATGCTCATGCATTTCTTTGCTCAAATATGGTATGGGTGCAGAAGGAGGCTGAACCACATCATGGAGGAGAGATCCATCTGGGGTTACTAAATACATAGAAATTCCATCCTTAGAGAAGACAGCTTAGGAAAATCTTTGACATGGAAATGGGTGGAGGCTGGAGGAAATATGCTTGCCCATCTCCTATTCTCTTGGCGTTCCCTCATATGATTGCTATTGGAGCTAAAGTACTGGAATATGTAGACTTTTGGTTTGACTGAGGATGGCTCTTCTTATACCTGTACATAAGATTTGTTTTGGAAGCCTCTTATTTTTCTTTTGCTATTAGAAAAATGTATCATACAAACAAACAAAGACTACTGAAGGAAACATAGATTTTGCTAGAATAATCTTAACTTTCTTCTAGGATAAATTTGTAACTTCACTAAATCTCTCCTCTACAGTACTTGTGTATGGAACTTTCTGTACAAATGCCATTCTGATAGACATCTTGGTGTGAGCATCTCTGGATAGGTGATACCCTTTATTATATTTATTTTCAAAACACAAACCAAAACATCTCTAAAAGCTCAATATCCTCAAACAAAACCTATATGAAGTTCACAGAAATCATAATTTAGTATTTTCCATTGCTCAAAGATGTTTAATGGATAGCCATAAATACTAGCTTTCCTAAAATCAAAACTCTTGTATCCCCTTTCAGGCCAGAAATACTCTATAGAGAATTCTGGTGAGTGCAATTATGTTGAGATACTGAAGCCCCGCTTATCTGAATCTATATTGGTGGGTGGGCTCAGGACTTTTGGTTATCCAGTGCTGTCTTTAAAAAGTAACTAGATTCGTAACTACTCCTTCAGGAATCATCCCATCTTGAAGTTCTTGAGAGTCTGAGCAAAAAACCTGCCTTATGTGTTTACTACCTTTCAGTGCTTTTGTGTAGAAGTAACTATGGCTAACTTGGTAGACTTTGGTTGAAATTTACATCCTAATTTACTCTTCAGTGACCTGAGCTCATATTCTGCATGTAAAGATTTGACTGTGTGGAATTTTTGTTCAATGAGGGAACAGCTCCATACACTCTGGAATAAGAAATGACCATTACTTGTTCAAGGAAGTAGTATTTGTTGAATGACTGTGTCATGATTTAGCCAGGAGGTATGCAGCTAAGCCCCACACAGCTGCTTGGTCACTCCTATGCCCAGTGGTATGGGGAAGAGAATTGGAAGGGTAAAAGTGTGAAAACTCGTGAGT